TTGAAACTTGCAGAGTATTTGTGGTGAAGACAGAGTATAAGGCGTTCACGATTACCTTTCCGGATGGACAATTGAAGGTCACAGGTAACATGACCTTGTCAGTGATATCAGAATAAGGAGGAAGACTACAGTTTCAAAATTCATTTCATTCATCACTTATCATTCCAATCAGTAAATCAGCGCAGTATCAAATTTCCCCATTATGCTGAACTTATGAAGCACTAATACATTCATATTCTATTTTATCTTTTTTCATAAAGAAGAAATTAATAAAGCCGTTCACTTGAAATGCTCCTCAATAATAACATTGTTATACACACTACAAGAAACTGATTTGAAGTCGGTTAATGTACTGTAAAATCAAATTAATTAATTGAACTGTAAGATCAATTCAATGAATAAACTTTTTTTTTCTTACATCCAATTATTTGTTATGCATTTTCGGACGCCACAGTTGCCGTCAAAAGGCTGTTAATCTAGAGCTGAACTCGGCATCATTGTGCGATAAATGATTGCCCAAATTCTAGTATTTACTGTAGCATGCCACCTATATTTGTGTCTGTCGCATTCGAAGAACTTGTCCTCTCCAGAGAGATTTTGATAATTAAACATTCAATGGTATGATTTACTACATGTACTTACTTCAAAACTCTTGAATGAAAGGATGCATCCTTTAATTTTTCTACCTGTGGTAAGAAACAATCCAGGCAATTAAAATTAGTTATTGTTTCTGTTTTAATAGTTTTGAAGAAGGTGTTTGTTACTACACAAACATTTCTTAAGAAGGTACATGTAATTGTTAAAATTCCATATTCGACTACAAAACATTTAATATCCGCTGTTAATTGCACTGTAAGATCAATTTAATTTATCAAGTTGCAGGTTAATTTTTTTTCTTGCATCCCATAATGTGTTACGCGTATTCGGACACCACCAGTTACCGTAACAGGGCTGTTAATGTGGAGCTTGACTCGGCATAACTGCTCATTGTGCGATAAATGTTGATAATAATAATAATCATAAGATGGATATTGGGGTAACGAACTTTACAGTATTCAATCTCAAAGTCCATAAATCAATACAAAAAAAGAGCAGAGCAAACGCTGACCTCCGAAGCATCAGAGGTGGGATCAGGTGCCATGGAAGAGTGAGCATCCCTGCTGACCGGTCACACCCGCCGTGTGCTTATTGTCATGATCAGGAAATAACGGAAAAATCCGTCGTCAATTCAGTGTATAAATAATGGACTGACAATTGGTATGATAAACATCAGTCAGCATTTGACTCAATGATAAATTGTATTTGCTGACAAGGTCATTGTATCGACCATAGAACCTACGAAATAATGACTTTAAACGAGACTGCTGTTATTCTTGTTTCATCAACTTGCTTGTCAATAATTTACCTCGTTTAAGAAATTGTTCATACGTAGAGCATGCTCTAGCGTATTGAATCAACTGAGATATGTACACTCCGTAGGAAGTATTAATAAAATTGACTCAAAAGTGCTGTACAATAAAGCGTTAGGAAACATAATTTAATAGCTATGAATACATATATGAAATATTAAAATATACTCCTATATGTGTTAGAACTAATATCATTAATATGCTAAAATTATATACAAAATACAAATAAGCCATTAATAAAACTGTCAATAGAGGAACTTTTTTTGGATTTCCTGTTAAAAGTTGTGCACCAGATAATTAATTAATTGATGGCCAAAATGCCTGCATCTACTTAACAGGAGACTTTATTATTTATCTTGCATTTGAAGGACTTGTCTAAATGTTCCACGGAGGTTTTCGATAAGTAAATTATCAATGTTAGGGTCAGCTAGGTGTACACGCACTTACATAAGAACTCTAGAATAAAAGGCTGTTAACGTGGATTTTTGTTTTTCGGGCATAGAAACTACTAGAAATTTTCTAAGTTTACTGTGAAAATTATATTCTAATTATTTGGTTAGGCTGATGGAACTCCCAATTGCAAACTATCATGTTCCTTGAAATACATTAATATATTCTATGTAAAATCTATTGTTAATATCTTGATCTAATCAGCACTTACAGTTCTTACAGGAAAGGTAATATTTCTACTCTAACAGTTTCTGAAGAGGTTGGTTGTTACTACAGTTCCGAAGAAGCTCTTTCTTCATGCTTCTACAGTTCTTTGGTAGTTAATTGCTAGGCAGTGGTAATAGACAAGCACGTAATAGTTTGCAGATTGTAATTAAACAAATCAGTACATGCATAAAAAACCTTACAAACAATAGACATAGCGAGTCACAGTAATTGTTCCTACCAAGCCTCTTCTCACTTTGAAGGTTTACTCCTCACTAAAAATATTACCAGTAGTGAAAGAGAAACAATATTTTTGAGAAGTGGTGTAAATCAGACGTGGATGCTCACTCCTCCATGGCATCTCTGATGTTTTGGAGGTCTGTGAGGTCTGCAACTGTTTTGTATTGTTTTATAAACTTTTATCTTGAATCATGTTCGTTATCTCCATATGTTTCATAAAAAGTTCCAAGGACATTTTGGAAAATTTAAAATCACAAGATTTTACCAAAGTCAACAGCTCAATTTTTTTGACTTTATACATTTCCCAAGATTAATTTATATTCCATGCTTTTTGATGTCATTGACAGCTGCTATTTCAATAAAGATTAATATACCTCGTCATTTGTCATTTGCAAATTTATTTTGTTAAAACCTGTCCTGATTGTACAAACAATTTCTCTGAAGTTGATATTAAAAATATGTTTTTTAGAGACCAAGTTTTCCAAAACTCTATGAGTCCGAGCCCCGTTATTAGCAGTCGTATTTTTATATTTATAAGGTGCAGAATTTGGCAAAAATCTTGTATATGAAAAAAGGAAAACACTAACATTAGCCTTCAACTCGACATTTAGATAAAATGACATATTGTCAATTAACAATGGTTATATCCATTCTTGTTTCTACGCGATTATAGAGTTTCATGATAAACGTGTGTGTGGATTTTGAAATAACGAACATATATCAATATGAAATTCAATAAAACAATACAAAATATGAGCAGAACAAACGTTTCAATCGTCATATTCCCTGGCTTATTCAGCAAAATACCTTCATCACCTGCATACTGGGTGGATATCTCCCAATTGACTCCATATACAAGAGCAAGTTCTACTTATGAACAGTTTCTTAAAGGTCACAGATGGAAATTTATATACAGCACAAAAAATGACCAACGACACGAACAATAAAAATTGTCAAATTTTCGGGACGCCCTGTCCTTTCCTCAGAACAAGAAAAAAGTTAAAAGGCATAAGAACAAAGGAAAAAGAGAAACAAAAACAACTAGCACTACTACTAAACACTAGATATTTAACATACTTAATTACATGTTGAATTGGAAATTTTTAAGAACACTAATAAAGAAAGAAATCCAGATCGGGTGATATTGTATATGTGATATCGTAACAAATAAGTTTATATATCGCCTAGAGAACTCTCTATATGAATTGGGTGTACTTAAGTACATAACTTAGAATAAAACTTGAAAATCAAATCTGTAGTGGAGTGTTACGTTTTAAATAAATTTTTAGTTCCGGGAAGCCTTATCAGTACCGCGTATTGAATTCCAATGGGTACCGTTATTAGCAGACCTATTTTTATATTCGCATCAAGCAGAATTTGTGCAAAATTTTATGCGTGAAAGAGAGACCACTTACTGTGGCCTTCAACTCGACATTTAGATATATATCGACGACGTATTGTCAATTAACAATGGTTATTTCCATTCCTACGTCGATATGATTTATCCTTGTGACCTTGAGATAAAAGATACCACAGAGTCTGACACATCTGTTTCATACTTGGATATTTTACTTGAAAAAGACGTTAATGGTATTCTACCGACCAAGCTATATGATAAACTTGATGACTTTAACTTTTCTATCGTCAACTTCCCTTACTTATGCAGCAATATACCTTCATCACCTGCATACGGAGTATATACAATGTATACCTCAGTTGATTCGATACGTAAAAAGCATGCTCTACGTATGAACAATTTCTAAAACGAGGTAAATTATTGAAGCAAGTTGATGAAACAAGATTATTGGCAGTCTCGTTTGAAGTCATCATTTCGTAAGTTCTATGGTCGATACAATGACCTTGTCAGCAAATACAATTTATCATTGAGTCAAATGCTAACTGACATTTTTCATACTTATTATTAGTTCATTATTAATACACTGATTTGACGATGGATTTTTCCGTTATTTCCTGATCATGACAATAAGCACACGGTGGGTGTGACCGGTCAGCAGAGGATGCTCACTCCTCCATGGCACCTGATCTCACCTTTGATGTTTCGGAAGTCTGCTCTGCTCTAATATCTTTTGTTTTATGGACTTTGAGATTCAATACTGTTTGTTATCTCCACATCCTTCTCATCATAGAGTCAAATTCGGACTGTCATATTTCATAATATTTCATAGGAACGTGCAGTGGCTAGAACGTCTGCTCCAGTGTCGCAGTGTAAGGAGTCAACCTTTCGAATCCCTATGTTTGACGTTTATTAGACCGGTCCTTTGGATGAGACAGTATAAACCGAAGTGTTGTTTTACAGTTGGTATTGTAAGCATAAAAAAGAGTTCTCCCTGTTCAATGTCCCTGAATGCCGAGTATAGGCCAAATTAACAGCTCTCTACATGGTGGCATTTCCGTATAAATGAAATATTCTCGAGAGGTTTGTTAAACAACAGACAAATAAATATACAAACTCTAATTCCTAGGCCATTGTTTAGACACTGGAGGACTGAGCGGGGGGATGCTCACTCATCCCTGACAACTGATTCTAACTCTGATATTTTGGTCTCTGTGTTTGCTCTGCTCAAATATTATATTGTCTAATGGACTTTAGAGCTTAAATACTCTTCGTTATTTCCATATATTTTATACAATGAGGTCATTTAAAAATTACATTTTCATTCTGATGATTTTAAAAGTTTAATGAATCGGGTGTATTATGAAGCCTGAGAACATTGAGTATGTATTTCCACCAGTAATTGTGTTTTGGCCATGCATTTCTTCAGTTTGGCACCAGACATCATCCCCAGTGTTGAGCTGTAGAACAACAGATCCGGTTCTGCGCAGATAATGATGCGTGTTGGCGTCCAAGAATGTGATAGCCACTGACTGCGTTTTCTTCATAATGCGAACATGCATCATGTGAGAAGGATCAGAAGTAGGGGGTGCTGTAATTTCGACTGCAAAGTGGTAGATTCCTGGATATGGGGCGACAAATATTCCGTGAATGGGGTGGTACGAATTTCCAACGTTAAGCTTGACGTTATCAAACACGATGTGGAAATTGTTTGTTGGATTTGTAATACTCCTTGAGAGCTCCGCCACAAAAGCAACATTGGACCGGGTTCTCTCTACAATAGTTAATCATGATAGGTGTAGCAAGATTAAGACTGCCATTGTTTTGAATATCAGTGTTATGTTTAGGGTTGAACCTATAACCTATATCATTTTAGTAGCTTTATTTATTTGTTAAGACATATATTTATATAGAAAAGTGTATCCTTAAAACATTTTCATTATATTTCATTTAAAGCAAAGGCAATGTGGGAATGACGAAAATATCAAAAAATATATCAGAGCAAAATAAGATTTGTCCTGAAATTTTTTCAATATAGGACCAACTAAACTAAATAACAAAGGAGATGACTTTTGACCTCGAATACTGTCCATTATCTCCACATATTTTATTACAACATATTATTTGCTTACTTTCTGTCTTTATCAAGGAATATCCTGCTATCGCCTTCTATACTGTTCGTTATCTACAAATATTTCATCGATCGTTGATATAATTTTGATATACTGTAAAAGCAGAAAATTTCGTTGGGGATTGTTTCGTTTATTTCGTTACTAACAATTATAAACAAAATTAAATACCACACGAAATTGTCATATGACTATGTTTTGAATAGCGTAACTGTCGAAACAGCGACATTTAATGCCCACGAAACCGTTTTACATAACAAATCACCGAAATTTGATCCCCATGAAAATTTTGGTTTCTTTAGTGTATCAAAATATATTTTATTCATATTTTAATCTAATGTAAAAATTCATTTTGGAACCAAATTTGTTTATGGCTCTTAATGACAAAGTTCGTGATTGACCCTCATACATATTTTTCTGTCTTTTTTGTACAAATATATTTTAGTAGGGTATAACTGCACTTAAAAATAGTATAAAACAACTGTATAACTTATGAATCATTGAAAAAATCAAGTATTACCGATTTCTTCCTTAAATTTAGTTATGAAGTATCGATCTTCATAAAATGCAATTATCACTGTTTACACTGATTAAAATCAACATACATACGCCACGGTTTTGAAAGTATTCTATACAACTAAAGGATTATGATAATTAATCGCGAAGATTAACCCCCTTCCCCACAGTCACGCATTTTAACGCAAATACCGTTGCCCCACAATCACACATTTTAACGCATATACCTTTGCCCCACAATCAAGCACTTTAACGCACATTGCGATTTTTTGACGTTCACTGCTCTGATACCGCGTTAATTTTAAATGGTATGACAATAAATGATAAGATAATTTCTTTTAAATTTCATCCTAATATATTTTGCAAATAAAAATATTTTCCTCGTTTTAATATGTCGGAGTCGTTCGATTTATTAAACGAAACTTGGAATGCGAGACAAATTAAGAAGGCCTTTCTTTTGACACTAAATAAGCCAACCACTTGAACCACTCGGTTAATGATGTAGGTGTCCCCCAATGCTGTGCGAGATGGGACCTATGATCCAGAATTTATCAAATTCTACAAATAAATTTTTATTTAAGTATTTGATAAATGTGTGTGGAGAAATCAACAGAAGGAACGAATAAAATTCAAAAAAAAAAAAAAATCAAGTTAATTCATACTCATACAGCTGATTATCGGTTCTTTAGTTTTTTTTCCTGTCCAATTGTGTATGTATTTTATTTTATTGTTGTGTAAGGCGAAAACAATAAAATTGTATTTTTACGAATTGGAATTTAAATCGAACAAGATAAGATTTAATGTAAATTAAAACAGCACTTTATTCTATGAACCAAACCGTTGAAAAATATGTAGGTTGATTTTTAAATTTGTATGATTTCGTTATTAAGTCAACGTTTCCAACATTCGTAAAAAAAGTGTTGCACTTACTCGTATGTATTGATTTATAAAAATATACGTATACACATAAAATAAGGTATTCGGGAAAATTTTATGCAAGTAAACTACATACTAGTTTGATATGTTACGATACTCTAAAATTATTTATAGATATTGCGTCACTATAGCTATTATTTTTATTGTGTGACGTCATGTTCCCTTTCGGAAGTTCTCGGATGTCGCGAATACAGCCGAGGAACACCAGCACGCGATCGTCTGCGACACAGGATTCAAGAGACTTTAGACATTTGGCACGGGAATAATGGACTTTTCATACTTCATAATTCGGCTTGGGCTTTGGGCTAACCGTGGAAGTATTGTCGTGTAGATAGCGATCGGTGTCCGTGGAGCTGGAGGACTTCCCTTTTGATTAACAGCTGAGTAAATTCTGTCCGCTATTATTGTTTACCTTTTTTTGTGTGTGTAACTGTAACTGTATGTGTTAATTTAGTATGATTATTTGTTTTTATCATTAAAATTTGTTAAAGTTTTAATTCGTTTTGCCTGGTGTGTTGTTGTAAGTGTGTCATCGGGAGCCAAAAATAGATTTGTGTATTCGGCACACGTTACAAATTGGGGGCTCGTCCGGGATAATCGAACTTTTGGCTTTTTGTGGGTAACTTTCGAAAACGATATCTCGGAGATTTTTGATCACTAAATTATTTCATTTGGGAATTTCATTCATTATTATACACACCAGTCAAGATGGTTTTTAACTTAGAGGATTTTTTAAATGCACCAGATGCGCGGTTACTTCAAACACTTAAGAAAGATGAACTGTTTGAATTTGTGTCAAAGTTTCACTTGAATGTAAAGCGCAGTGCTCGGAAAATAGAAATCAAAAATGTTGTGGTTCAGTATTTAGTTCAGAGAGGTATTTTAGATGATAGTGCATTGTCATTGGTTGAAGATTTGAAATCTAGTGAAATTGAAAAGAGAAATTTTGAATATGAATTAGAATTCAAGAAATTAGAAATTGAACAAGAGAGAGAAAGGCAGGCATTTGAAAGAGAAAAGAGAGAATATGAAAAAGAGAAAAGTGCGCAAGATCGAGAACACGAGTTACAAATTAAGAAATTAGAATTTGAAACGCAGAAGTTGAAACATGAGTTGGAAGCTGAAGCTAAGGCTAAATCAAAATCTGACTTTGATGTGACAAAGAACATAAGACTTGTCCCTAAGTTTCAAGAGAAAGATGTTGACAAATATTTTATTCATTTTGAGAAAATAGCAGAAAATTTGAAATGGCCAAAAGAATTCTGGCCACTATTGTTACAGAGTGCATTTGTTGGGAAAGCGAGGGAAGTCTACAGTGCATTGTCACTTCAACAAAGTACAGATTATGATGTTATTAAGAAAAATGTCTTAAAAGCATATGAACTTGTACCAGAAGCCTACAGACAGAAATTTAGAAATTACAAGAAATTCAATGAACAGACTCATGTTGAATTTGCAAGAGAGAAACAGAATATGTTTGAGAGATGGTGCACTTCTAAAAATGTTGGATCAAACTTTGAAAGGTTGAAACAGGTCATTTTGATTGAGGAATTCAAAAATTGTATTCATCCTGAAATTAGAACATATTTAGATGAACAGAAGGTTGAGACTCTTGAGCAAGCTGCGACTGCGGCTGATGATTATGCACTAACACATAAGGTATCTTTTGTAAAACTCAGTACTAGTCAACAGAAGATGACCAGCTATGACAGTTCTCGAGGGGGACCAGACACTTCACAGGTAACTCAACCTAAGATGGCGTACTCTGAGATCAAAGGTAGGGACAAGAATAACGAAACCTTAAAGCAGGTGCACATTTGTAATTATTGCAAAAAGAAGGGTCACATTAAGTCTGAATGTTGGGCATTACAGAGGAAAAAACCTGTAAGTAATGATAGTAAGCCAAGTCCCACTGCTCTTACATCTGTCCAAGGTAAGGTTTCCTGTAGTCAGTTTGAGAACACTGCTGTTAAGTCTGTCAAGCCAGAGTCTGATGTTCTTAGAGAGGAATTTAAGCCTTTTGTATTTCATGGTTTAGTGTCGGTGGGTACCGACTCACACCCTATAAGAATTTTAAGGGATACAGGTGCTTCTCAGTCTTTGTTACTAGAGGGCGTGTTGCCACTGTCTGAGAAGACACATACTGGTTCTGAAGTGCTGATTCAAGGTGTAGAATTAGGACTTATGAAAGTTCCTCTTCATGTTATAGACTTGAAGTCAGATTTAGTCTCTGGGTCTGTGGTCGTAGGTGTTAGACCTACTTTACCTGTTAAGGGAGTTTCTCTTTTGTTAGGTAATGATTTAGCTGGGGGTAGGATGGTACCTGACCCAATAATTTGTGAAAAGCCTAGTCTTATAGGAGAGATAGAGGAGGAGAATAAAGAGTTATTTCCTTCATGTGCTATTACAAGGGCTATGGCTAAGAAACTAGGACATGCTGAACAGACGGTAAGTCAGAAGTTAGATACAGGGAAGGACTTGTCTATAGATCTTGATGAGACATTTTTGTCAGCTGTGTTAGATTCAGAAAGTCACATTTCCTCAGAGGATCAGCAGTCTAAAGGTGATGTATTTGGTTTACAGGAAATGTTAGACAACACACCTCTTACTAGAGATAAATTGATATCTGAACAAGAGTCAGATGTTGAATTACAAGGTCTCATTGAACAGGCTTTGTCTCCAGAGGAGGCAGAGAAGGTCCCTGTTTGTTATTATAAGAATCAGGGTGTACTCATGAGAAAATGGCGTCCCCCTGATGCTTCAGTAGAGGATGAGTGGCAAATCCACCATCATATTGTAGTACCTAGGGCATATCGGAGAACAGTTATAGGTCTGGCCCATGACACACCAATGTCGGGTCATTTGGGGGTCACAAAGACCTATCATAAAGCATTGACTCACTTCTTCTGGCCTAAGATGAGAAGGGATATAGTTGACTATTGTAGGTCATGTCATGTCTGCCAAGTAGTGGGAAAACCTAATCAAAAAATCCCTCCTGCTGCTTTAAAGCCTATCCCTGCTTTTGATGAACCATTTACCAAGGTCATTATAGACTGTGTGGGTCCCTTACCTAAAACCAAAGCTGGTAATCAGTACTTGTTGACAATAATGTGTGCATCGACACGCTTCCCTGAAGCAATTCCCCTGCGAAACATAAAGTCTAGAACCATTGTCAATGCTTTGAACAAGTTTTTCACCAAATTTGGTTTGCCCCAGTCAGTACAGTCTGATCAAGGTTCCAATTTCACATCCAAGGTCTTTAAACAGGTAATGCAGGAGTTAGGGGTTAAGCACCATACATCCAGTGCATACCATCCGGAGTCCCAGGGGGCTCTTGAGAGGTTTCATCAAACCTTGAAAACTATGATTCGAACCTATTGTTTGTCTAATGAGAAGAGTGGGACCAGGGAATCCCCTTTCTTTTATTTGCTGTTAGGGATGCAAAACAAGAATCACTAGGTTTTAGTCCCTTTGAACTTGTATATGGTCACACTGTGAGAGGACCATTGAAATTGCTGAAAGAGAAATGGTTGGTTGAAGAGATTGAGACAAATCTATTAGATTATGTAGCAAAGTTCAAAGAGAGGCTCAGTCAGACTTGGACGCTAGCCAGAGAGAATCTAAAGGTAAGTCAAGACAAAATGAAAACCTGGTATGACAAACGTACAAAAACTAGAACATTTAAGTCAGGAGACAAAGTCCTTGTCTTGCTACCAATTCCAGGTCAGCCTTTACGTGCTAAATACTTTGGCCCATTTGAAGTTGAACGCAAGGTCAATGACTTGAATTACATTATTAAGACACCAGGTCGACGCAAGAGCAAACAGCTCTGCCACATCAACATGATCAAACAGTATCATGACCAAACTGACATAGATCACCCTAAGGTAGAATCAGTTGCTGCTTCAAGCACTGAAGTTAAGTCTACCCAAGAACAAGACCAACTTGCACACGAGTATGATCAGTCTACTCCTAAGTTGAAAAACTCGGATGTTTTGTCAGACTTAGAATCTAAACTTAACCACTTGCAAGAGAATGAGAAAGAAGAGCTTGTGTCTCTTATACAAGAATTTTCACATTTATTCCCGGATGTTCCTAAAAAGACCAATCTTGTATATCATGATATAGATGTTGGGGATGCATCTCCCATTAAACAACATCCTTACAGAATGAACCCTGTAAAACAAGAATACTGTCATGCAGAACTGGCATATATGTTGGAACATGACATCATTGAGTACAGTAACAGCCCTTGGAGCTCCCCTTGTCTCCTTGTTCCCAAGCCAGATGGGTCGTTCAGATTCTGTACTGACTTCCGCAAGGTCAACACAATTACCAAAACTGACTCTTACCCAATTCCCAGAATTGAAGACTGCATCGATAAAATTGGTCATGCCAAATACGTAAGTAAATTCGATCTTTTGAAAGGGTATTGGCAGGTCCCATTGACCGAGAGAGCGAAAGAGATTTCAGCCTTCGTTACCCCAAAAGGTTTCTACCAATATAAGGTGATGCCTTTTGGGTTAAAAAATGCCCCTGCAACCTTTCAAAGGATGATCAATCATTTACTTAGTGATGTAGATGCAAGTGAGGCATACATTGATGATGTGATAGTGTATAGTAACACTTTTCAGAAGCATTTGTCACACATCAGGGCATTATTTGTTAAACTTTCAGAGGCAAATTTGACTGTAAGCCTAACAAAAACAGAATTTTGCCATGCTGTTGTTGAATATTTAGGCCATATTGTTGGTAACGGCCATGTTAGACCAGTGTTTGCAAAGGTTGAGGCAATTGTAAATTTTCCAGCACCTCGGTGTAAGAAAGAACTGATGAGATTCTTGGGAATGGCGGGGTACTATCGAAAATTTTGCCCTAACTTTTCGACCATTGCTAACCCATTGACCTGTCTCTTGAAAAAGAATAGCAAATTTATTTGGGATGAATCATGCCAACAGGCCTTCCAACAAATCAAAACAATTCTCATGGTCTCTCCAGTTCTTTCATCACCAGATTTTCATAAAGAATTTTTGTTGCAAATTGATGCTAGTGATGTGGGTTGTGGGGCAGTTTTGTTACAAGAAGATGAAAAGTATGTTTGTCATCCTGTTGCTTATTTTTCCAAAAAGTTTTCCAAATGTCAAAAAAATTATTCAACTGTAGAAAAAGAGTGCTTGTCCATGTTATTAGCATTGCAACATTTTGATGTGTATGTGAATTCATCTGTACATCCAGTTGTTGTTTTCACTGACCACAATCCACTCACATTCGTTCTCAAAATGAAAAACAAGAATCAAAGGCTTATGAGATGGAGTTTGGAATTACAAGAGAAAAACATTGTCATAAAACATATTAAGGGAAAAGAAAATTTAATTGCAGATGCTTTGTCAAGAGTATAGGTTAATTAAAATGTTGTTTTTTGAAATGTATGTAAATTTTGTGAAATCATGATATTGTTTCATTGTAATTGTAAAAGTTTTCATTATACTCAAACTTTTCTTTAAGGAAACATAGTGTTACGATACTCTAAAATTATTTATAGATATTGCGTCACTATAGCTATTATTTTTATTGTGTGACGTCATGTTCCCTTTCGGAAGTTCTCGGATGTCGCGAATACAGCCGAGGAACACCAGCACGCGATCGTCTGCGACACAGGATTCAAGAGACTTTAAGACATTTGGCACGGGAATAATGGACTTTTCATACTTCATAATTCGGCTTGGGCTTTGGGCTAACCGTGGAAGTATTGTCGTGTAGATAGCGATCGGTGTCCGTGGAGCTGGAGGACTTCCCTTTTGATTAACAGCTGAGTAAATTCTGTCCGCTATTATTGTTTACCTTTTTTTGTGTGTGTAACTGTAACTGTGTGTGTTAATTTAGTATGATTATTTGTTTTTATCATTAAAATTTGTTAAAGTTTTAATTCGTTTTGCCTGGTGTGTTGTTGTAAGTGTGTCATCGGGAGCCAAAAATAGATTTGTGTATTCGGCACACGTTACAGTGTTATATATTGTACGATAGGCGCACGGATAAACAGGCAGTTAACATCGGATTAAAAAAACAGATCCCACGATAAAGCATGCCTCAGTGAAGAATGTGCTAAAATTGCAAGCATCTGTGATCAGTTGCGATGCTCAGAAAACTGCGATCAAAACTGTTACGGACAGACACACAAACAGTTAGATAGACGGACAAACACACCAGGTAAAACAGTATACCCCTTCCTCGGCTTCTGAGCGGGGGTATAGTTAAAAGATGTGTCCAGTGATTATTTTTATAAGTGGGTAACTATTTTTGATACGCCTTGAGTACGTTTATATTGTCAGACTGAGTATATTTAAAAATATTAACTTGTAGTTTAAGAATATTTACATCAAAATAATAAAGGTAAAAGCTTTGATTAGTTTTTAAAGATCAGTATCATGTGTCTCGAACAAAGTGCAATCACTGACATAATATAATTCAAGTGTATTTGTTTTGTTTTTTTACCTATCGATTATTCATAAACTTTGTAGACATAAAACTCACCCCCCCCCCCCCCCCCAAAAAAAAACAAAAAAAAAACGGACATACAAAAAATTGTCGGAAATGCTGAGCATAATTCCTGCAAATTTATAAATGAAGTACATAATTTCGAATCAGTCCTTCTATATAACAAGCTGTTGATCGAAGAAAAGAAATGCTAGAAATGCTGAATATACCGGTAATTCCGAAAAAAAAATCGAGTTTTTAGCGCCTAAACGCATTGCTGCTCATACATGTATCTCTGCACTACCCTTTGAATACAGTCACAAGTTAATTGTCCATTCACAAAGTGGATGTCAAATGGTTATTTTTCTGTGTATAACATAGACATATAGCTGGTGGAAGAATCACATAATACCACGTAATCGTCCTCTTATGGAAAGTTTACTCCCCTATTAAGTTTTTCTTAAACCTATCATTTCTAGTGTATGCAGTGTTGACAAACTTGAACCTACAGAGTATATATATGATTTATTGTTCGATTTTGATTTTCAGTCAGAAAAGTCTTCATTTCCAGTTTTATTACCTGAAATTTACTCTTTCATAAATGTCGGAAAATAAAAGTTTAAAAAATTGCCAATAAGCTATAAAATATCAGAAAGAAAAAAGGTGTAAGAATATATATTTTCATTTACTGAAATAAAATGCAGTCAAATTATTGAGATAATCTGTTTTTATTTTCCATTCTGATTCTTATGAACATTTATTTCGGTCAGAATTGCATATCTTTTACAAACACAATATTATTTTTTATGCCGTTATTTTGTATGTTTTGAAAAATCTGTGTATCTATTGAAAAATCTATGTATCCACTTCGCACCAACTCATGATAGATCCAGAGTAATTATTCAATTTTTACTCTAAACCATATTTCTTAATCTGACTTTATTTTTTGCAGTTTTTTGTTTTTACTACGCTATTCTTTTTATAAATGTGGACAGGTTTTCGTCTGCATATCGACGCTGCATGTTCATAAAATTAATCGCGTTCAATATGATAATGAGGGCAAATGTATTCCTTTGACAACACTTGGAAAAATTGTGGAAATACTTACAATATCAATTTCTCAATAACTACAGCTACAATTTATGCATTTCCAAAGAAACCATTTTAGGTGTACTCCTTGATTTGCTCTACAAAAAATCGGAATACT